AGAGTCCGTCAAATGCCACCGTAGTATGTGGTAAGTCTCAAAACATCGAGAGTGTCGGAAATTCTTTCCGTACACCTTATCCACATACTACGTATATGGTATTGCGTGTGTGGTGTTGTATGGGTGATGTTACGTATGTGGTACTACGTGAATAGTATTACGTATGTGGTATTACCTGTATAGTATTACTTTATCGTAATACCTATTTAATAGGTTTTACTTCGGTAAGTAAAACTTATATTTATTCATTTTATTAAATTGATTTGATTATTATTTTGATTTTGATTCGAGATACCTGTTAGGGTTCCGTCGCATTTGCTTGACAGGGCGTTGACCTTCCGTCTACTACCCTAGGCGATGCGTATTTTGTTTTTTTTCTCTCTGAGCTAAGGCTCAGAAGGTTTTTAGTTGTATTTTTTTATGTAGAGTCATTTTGGAGTATCGTTATAGATATGCTCTATTTATCCCATTTTATTTGATGTACACTACAGTGCATCCCCTCATGCTGACAGATGTAGGGTATTTTTTCATATTCATTTCATTTTTATCTTTCTTTACAGTTCTGTCTCTTGGTGATTATCTCTGGTTTTTGTTGTTGTTGTTCCAGTCACTGCGTTGGAGAGAAGGGTAGAGCTAGTGCAAATTTTGTTGAGGTGTTTAGGCTCGGTTAGCCTTCTTCAGTCTCTGTTGCTCTAGTCTGCAATTCATTGTCTGACGTTGTTAGTATGATACATTCCGTTTGAGAGAAGGTTTGAGCTGGAACAGTATATTTGTCTGGTTGTCTTGGTCTTGTAGTACCGACCGTTAACCTTTAACTGCTCTAGTTCAATATAATTCCTTGTCTGGCGTTGTTAGTATTGTTCATTCCGTCTGAGAGAAGGTTTGTATTGGCACAGTAAATTTGTTTGTTTTTTTTTGGTTTTAGGGTACCGGCCGTCGTATACCTCTAGCTGCTCTAGTAGTGTAGTGTTCCTTCTCTGGCGTAGTTGATCTGACATGAACTAGAATGTTGGTTTCAGAAACTATCACCAAGGTTGTAAACCGAGACGTATCGATACCATGAATGGATCGACGTTCTCTTTAATTATTGTTGAGTCGCGTTGCTTTAGAACATAGCGTTATTAATTTTTAGTCTGCACTTGTCTAGCCTGAGTTATCGATAATTTACACCTATATCGTTTTATAACACCTAACTATAGCAGTATTTTTTTATCTTGCATACCATAATAGCTGATGTACCTCCGTATTATTTTATTTTAGCAGAACAATGACTCGAGTATCTCTGTACTTTACGGCGTATCCAGTGACCAGCAACTTTAGTAATATTACACCTTTAGTTTTTATGATCTCCGGCATCATATATTCTTTACTGGTACTTTTCGTTTTTATTTTGGTTTGCCGCTTCCTTTTTGAGAACCTGATCAATTTTCAAATGGGTTTCGTCTATTCTGAAATTCACGAAATCATTTTCTTTTGATTTTTTTTACCATCCCCAGATTTGTGAAGAAGAAAGTGTACCTTACAGGTCCATTTCTTTTCTTTTCGGAGGAGGGCAGTGTAACGTTTTTAGTTCGTTACATGTCTTTTTATATATAATATATGATGTCTGGCCTATCATCACCAGATTCCTCTCGTTCAGGCTGGATAGATTATTTGACGCGTAATTTTTACGTTCCCTGGTCCACAACCCTGTTATGGTTTGGCACAACCCTGTTATGGTTTGGCACAACCCTGTTATTGCTCTGTGGGAGCGCGCGCTGTCAACATCGCTTCTGTCAATTCTCTGTGATCTAACTTCACTTTTGGTTAGACTGTTTGACCTGTCAGACGCCATTAGTCCCAGTTTTTGAGAAATGGTGATTATTTAAATCTTGCTGTGTAATCTGAATCAGCTGCCATTTCGAAGCTACAGGGTAGAGTTACGGATGTCCCAACTTGTATTTGTATTTGGCTGGCACGTTGGCGTCCCTTTGCTTTTTATCCTCCAGAATGTCATTTGGAAGAAAGGACAGATTGTTTATTATTTATTGAGCCCTCAGAAGTATTTCTGAGGTCTTACGGACGGACATTGTCTTACGGACAAGTGTCCAAGGTATGGACTATTTTTCATGGTCCTAGTAGTGTTCTCTTGTGCCACTATCTTATGGACGGATGTCCCATGGACAAGTGTCCCCAGTAGGATTGATTTGTCTTACACATAGAGTGCCCCAGCGTGGATGTGGCTTGAGCCCCGTGCTGCTTCAACCCCATTTCTAAGCCTGGATCGCCGACAGACAGTACAGAGATGCTAGACCTCCTCGCGCTGCTACTGTTTGAAGCAAGATTACATAAAGAACAGCTGTGTACAAGTGTAGATTTACGTTCTAGTTTTTATGTTTTAGATTTTCTATATTTTCAGTCTTAAACAGTAACATACATTTTAAATAATATCGTACAGACTATATTTAGTGGTTAGATTATTAAGAACATTTATGTCGATTCAGTAGTTACAATGTGATTTAGATTTTAGGTTTCATTATATTACGCCTTGTAATAGTATTACTTTCTATAGATATTGTTATTGCGCTATATTAACAGATGAATAACGAGACATAGATTCTAGAATCTACAGGTTGTAACATCTTCAATTTAGCATCATATGGAATATATCAAATTAATTAAAGTAATGCTACATTTCATATTTTCTCTTAAACTTTACATGTCCTGTATTTTACCGTGGTTGTTTTCATTGATATTTAGTACGACTCTTACCACCACCTTCTTTGACATATAACCACTATATATTTACTAGAACTCTACAATGTCATGTATCAGCAAAGAACGTCATGAATAAATATAGTCATTAGTTTTAAGTATTATACAACTGTGTTTTCTTTCTCTGTACATGCCTGGCGCCCAATATCTATATATCTTTTGTTAATTATTACTGATTAATTTTCTCTCTAGTGAAATACCTTATCCACGACTGCTCTCCGATGAAAAGCTGCCGTTCGCAGTGGTAGTGGTTTAAAAAACGCTACAGTAATGAAATAAATAATGTTAAAGAAGACTTGATTCTACTTTTGATAGTTACACAGAACTTCTTCTTCTTCTAGTGCAGATCCATTAATGGATGTTTGCGATAACATTTTCCATTGCTTCTCTGTTCCGGGCAGTGTGTATTAACGACTGAACATCGAGTAGCCCTGTCCACTGTCTAATATTCCTCCAAGTCCAAGATATCTTTCAGGATTCTGCGATATAGCCACATGTCAAAAGCCTCCAATTTGTTGAGGGTAGCTGCTTTCAATGTCCAACCTTCCATACCATAAAAGAGCACCGAATACACATAACACTTTACGAATCTTAATCTAAGGCTAAGGTCAAAATCAGAACAGTAAGTACTTTTCGAAACCTCAAGAATGCCTGCCGAGCTGGTTCGATGCGACATTTAATTTCCTTGTCTGATGTCCAATCTTCGGAGAGCCAGATGCCCAAGTACTTAAATTTATCTACTCTTTCTATGGGCTTTGAGTTAAATGTTAGGATGGAGTTTATAAACACATTTGGGTTTCTGGATATAATCATAAATTTGATTTTCTTGATGTTGATGTTTAAACCTATTGCTTTGCTCTGTTCTCCTACCGTGTTGACCAGTTGTTGTAGGTCGTGTATATTGTCTGCAATTAAGACCGTATCGTCGGCATAGCGGATATTATTAATCCACACTCCATTAACTTTGACTTCCATTTCCACGTCCTCCAGAGCCTCTTGGAAAATAGCTTCTGAGTATAAATTAAATAGGAGTGGAGATAGCACGCAACCCTGTCGCACCCCCCTTCTAACTTGTATTGGATTGGACATGGTATTGGACAATTTTATTTGTGCTGTTTGGTTCCAGTATAACTTCTCAATGCATTGGATGTCTTTATGATCTATATCAAGTCTTTTCAGGAGCTGCATTAATTTGTGGTGCTGTACGCGATCGAATGCCTTTTCGTAGTCTATGAAACACAGGCACACATCCTTTCTCTGATCGTAGCAGTTCTGGACAAGCACCTGTGTTGCAATTATCGCTTCACTGGTGCCTAACCCTTGTCTAAACCCCATTTGCGAATCGCTTATGTCCCTTTCACATTTTTTGTAAATTCTCTGGTGTATTATTTTCAGAAATACTTTTAGGGTATGGCTCATCAGGCTGATAAGTCTGTGATCTTTACACTTTCTGGCATTAGTCTTCTTAGGCAGAGGTATAAAAGTAGAACGCAACCACTGTTTGGGGTAGTGACCTGTTTCATATATAATACTGAATAATTTATGTAATGCTGTAATGCCTCTTTCATCTAGCAGCCTAAGGGTTTCTGCAGGAATTTCATCTGGGCCAGCCGCTTTGTTATTTTTCGAATAAAGTATGGCTTTTTCAATCTCATCTTTAGATGAGCCGGTTAGTGAGTTATTGATATCAGCTGAGAGTCTTTCATCGTCAAAAAGTTCTTCTATACTTTTCCCAAACATTATTCTTCTCTATGCTTTCGAGGACTATCTGGTTGTTATTATTGACTGTCACAGTTGATCTCATTTTCTTATATGTGCCAGCAGTCTCCTTCAGCTTTTTATGCAGATTAAAATTGTCATGTTGGTTTTGCAGCTGTTCTAATTCTGAACATTCACGTTTAATCCATTCGTTCTTTGCTATTCTAATCTTTGTTCTTATGAGTCTTTGAATATCTTTGTACATTCCATCTGTTTTGTTCTTGTACTTTCGACGTTCATCCATTAACAACAATATCTCATCCGTCATCCATCTTTGCTTTTTGTTCTCTGCTTAATATCCTAACCTGTTTTGCATTGAATTTGATACAATGTTGGTTTTGTTATCTTTGTCCAAGATTGTATTGGTTCTTCTCCCGTATTCGGTATTATTGCTTGAATTTGTGTGTTGATTTCGTCACTCATCTCTGATTTTACTAGTGGATCCCTCATTCTTTCTAACGCCATCCGCCGCTTGTGGTTGGCTTTCTTTAACTGGATAAAGCAATTTGCATTACGGACACTAATATCACATGGTCAGAGGGAACATCGGCGCCAGGGTAGGTGCTGGCTCTTTTGATGGTTGAGCTGAACCTTTGGTTAATGAGGATGAAATCTATTTGGTTTCGTATTACATTGGCCGGTCGGTCCGCTGGAGATTTCCAGGTGTAGAGACGGCGAGAGTGAAGTTGAAACGCCGTATTTGTTATTTTTATGCCCTCTTCTTGGGAGAATTGCAGAAGTCGATCGTCCCGCTCGTTCCTTTCTCCAAGACCATAGGAACCAATAATTTCCTCAAATTTACCCCTTCCTATTTTGGCATTGAAGTCACCCATAATTATGTTGACGTCGTGTTTTTTAGTCAATTTGACTTCATCATAGAATCTTTCCACATCATAGTCCGGCGAATCTGCAGTTGGAGCGTATACCTGTATTATATTAAGATCACTTGGCTTGGCTCTGAGTTTTAATAAAGCAGTGCGATCCGGGTATGGAACAAAGTCCACTACAGATTTCAGTATTTCTCTTGTTATTATGATTCCCACACCTTTGCTGTGTTTTGGATCTTCATTACCAGAGTAAAAGAATACGCTGTTATCCACATTGCACTCTCCCACCCCAGGCCACCAGGTTTCTGCAACGCCTAGGATATCCAGACTAAGTCCATTTCTCGTGTGAGGTTTGCCAGTTTTCCATCCTCGAATAGGCTCCTTACATTCCATGTTCCGATCTTAATTGGTTTTCTCAAATTCGCTCTTTTGTTTGTTACATTTAAAGCCGTTCCCCCGGAGATCCGACTGGGGAACTATTTATAACTCCGGAAAATGTTGAATTAAATGTACTCATGTTATTGTCTTGGGAATTAATAATAAAGGTGGTATCCCGTTGCCTTCCTTTATGCCAAATCCTGGCTTGTGTATCGGCCGTCCATTCTGGGTCAGACGCCGTTTGCAACCGCCCAATCTGGGAACAGACATGCCGTTGTGCTTTTATATTGCCCCTAAAAGCATTAGTTGCCACTTGCGCCAGGTCCGCTGTACCGAAGTTCTTCTTCTCCGCCATTCCTGCCGGTGGGGTCTTCACCCGTATCCTTGAGCAAAGGGATTGCGTCATACCCCGCAATACTGGGTCCTCAGCAGAACTTAGCCACCGACTCCGCGGAGTCGGGCCCACCCCCGCGATTTGGACGCGCCTGCTGAGAATTACCTATGTGGATTCAGAGTAAGAGTCTCTGATTTCCAATAGGCCGGGTTAATGTTCGTGTATGATGCCACGAACAAAGGTTACACAACATAGAGAATAAATTAATTTAAAAAATCGTTGGCTTTATTACGAAAAGGCGTATCTCGATTTCTGCTACTTTTCAGGAGAACACTGTAGAAACACTGTAGTATTTCGAGGGACACATCGAAGAAAAATAAGTAATACAATGTTTGAAAAAATAGTTTTCCTTAAGTCTAAATTGGGCAAAGAAAAATTTTAAAATATATTTTCCCAGATTATCCGATTCTTGTTCTTAATTATTAATAACTTAATAGAGATGTAAATAAATGTTTTCTTTCAAAAATATTTTATTTTAATAAATTATTTAGAAAATGCATATTTTATATCGACGAGTAGTATTTCAAGTACCTTTTTCAAAAGTATCTTGTATCTGATATCTCAATTACTTTGTTTGGAAGTATCTTCTAACTTGTATTTCATTTCAGATACTTTTTATGAGGTATCTTGTACATCTCTGTTAATATAGCATCTCTATTTGGAAACATTAAATCAAAAATTATTCAGACTCGAAGGATTTCCTTGAGGATATTAATTTGCCTGGATATAATATATTTTTAGAGGCGGTGGGTCGGGTGAAATACCACGTCACTTCCAGCGAGGAAAAAGCACGGAATAAAAGCGGGTGCACGGCTCGCCCGGAGCCTAACTAGGCCTGACAATTATTCCGGGTAATTAAGTGAAGGGAACTTTTGCGCGAAACCGCTCTCGGCTCCGGTAATTAAGAGAGTCGGTCGGCACGTCCTCTCGTTCTCGGTCGGAAATGTGCCGATTTCATTAGATCCTTTGTCTTGAGAAACTGATTTGGCACCGGTTCGGCCCTGCTACCTTTTTCTGTGCCGACAGGACTGGTAATTTAGCGATGGAAGAAATCGAGTGAAACGATTTTCTTTGTTTTTCTGGGTATTCACATGCACAAAAGTTAAATGGTCACCTAGTTGGATAATTGGATAGACTATTTGTTTATGACTTATTTATTATTTGAAATCAAGATGAACACTGTTTATACTAGTTTCTATCACACCCAATGACGGCTCGTGAGTATATAGAAAGATGACGCTACATGAGGTTAATAATTCTGTTTAAATACGAATAAATTTTCTCACCTATGAAGAATTATTCTGCGACGCGTTTTTTAATGGTACCAAACCTATTAGGTGTGGTACGCAAAAATATTTGAATTTTTTTAAATACATATTGTTAAATATTGCGAAAATTTCTGACCCCTTAATATTTATTTGTCTTTTTTCAGTTTCATTTTGTCTTAGAAAAGGAGTTTCAAGTATAGAAAGAATAACGTTATAAATAGGATTCATTTTAAAGAAAACGCTAAAATTGAACTCCTCTTCAGTACTTTAAAATAAATAAAATAAGGCCTAACCTTCAAATTTCAACAATAGTTGTTGCGTTGAATTTAAAAAACTGCTAAAATTCCACCTTACCTGTGTGCAATCGAGTTAAAAATAGTGTATCTAATAGCCATAAAATAATTTAAATTTATAAACACAACCAATCTAAATAATTGCCGCCCTAAATGTCTAAATAAAAACAAAAATATACGCTAATTAATACACCCACGCTGTTCTCACCACAACCGGCCAGCCACCGGCACTTTAATTTCCTGAATCATACATAAGAGATCGAGACTTCGTTGCATTTTTCAATAGTCAGATGATTTAAACTACCAATGGAAACACACCCAAGCTCCAAATATCGCGCCTCAACCACGCCTCAACCCTGCGATCGAGAATGCGTACCCCGTCAAATCGACGGTCGCGTCACCGGCGTCACATGATCTTAAATCGTCGCTACTAATAGGTAGGCAATTCGAACTTTCCAAGCTAGAATTGTTTCGCCTCAGTGTGCTTCTGTCGAGTCGCGTTCTTTTTGGCTGGGTTTACGCAGCTTATGTTGTGCCTGGACCTGGATTGACCTGGATGTATTTACAAAATATATTTTTTTTTAGTTTTATTATGTTGAATGTATTGTAGAATTGTAATAAGTTATACCGGGATTAAATAAAATAACAAATACACAAAAATAAATCGCCTTCATCTTAAAGGTGAGGTGCGACCTCAGAGGCCTACCCTGACGAGCCGCCACTGATCACACCTAAGCAATGTTCCACTCAACAAAAAATTCGTTATGAAAACAGAAGAAAGGTGGGCAAGTGAGCACAAACAACGAGCTAAAATGGTCTGAATCTGGGGTCCTTAACAACAAAAAACCACTTTGACGTCCAAAACGTAAAGACCTTTAAACTCTGGAGGAATCAACTAAGAAGACACAACTGGGAACTGCAACGAGGGAAGGAGAATTGTTGAGGCGGACATGGGGGGGGGGACTTACCCCGGGTTGTAGAGCCATGGATGGACGGATGGACCCTTTATTCTCGAGTCACTTTTGGGACATTCGATGTATGCAACTGGCTCGAGTGCATATGCACTTGCAAATAGCAATTGAAATTACCAGCGTAGGATTAAGACTTTTAATTTCATAAACTATAAAAACATATTAGCGTGCAATAGTTCTAGGCGATAAATTTTAGTGGAAGGGATTTTTAGTTGCTAATTTGCTAGTAAATTCTTTTCTTTTAATTTCTTCTCGTAAACGAGTATTTTTGGACGTGGTTGTGTAACAGTTTTTTTTTGTTTATATGCACCTCTAAAGTATTGAACCACGCGCATCATTGGATGAACTATGTAGAATGTAGAATGTTTAGGAGGGGGGTTAATCATTTCGACCTTACAGGTCTATTGTGTGTTTCGCTTTCATGAGTTATCACGAGTTATAAGTCATCATACGGTCTCGGGGTTTTGACAAAAGCCAGTATCTGACTAGGCTCCACAGCGGGGTCGGAGATGGAGCCAGCTCTCCACCTTCGACATCAGCCGTACCAAATTTTATGGCACAAACGGTTGTCATGTCGGCGAACTTAGTAATTAGGTATTCTAGAGTGTCCACATTTCCCCCACAGTATCTTCATTCGCCGTTGTTTCTCAGCTTCAATTTATTGAGATGTTCGTTGAGGCGACATTGTTCTGTTAGATACCCCGTGACAATCCGAAGACTGTTCTTACTTAAATCAAGGAAAATATTTGATTTTTCTCTGTCGTAAGTTCTGAGAAAATCTTTCGAGTGTCTTAGACTGTTGGGTTCCCATTCCAGGTTACGGATGGAGTCATGCAAGTTTTTGAGTTCCGCTTTAAGTTGGTTTCCAGTTAGTAGAGTGTTCGCTCTTATTCTAGCTATATCGTTTGCTTGTTCATTGCCTTCTATCCCTTTGTGAGCGGGCACCCAGAGTAGGAGGATTTTATTTTCTTTGCCTAATTTGTTCAGCTTCTCTAGACATTCTTTAACCAACTTTGAGTTGATGGTTACTTAGTTGATGGCTTTTAGTGCTGCTTGATTTCCCGATAAGATAGCTCTTTCCTGTTTTTGATAGTTCCTATCTTAAATAAATTATACGCATCTTTCGACAGCGTAGGTTTCTGCATGAAGGATGCTGGGGTAGGTGCCCATTGGTTTGGAGTAGGTATTTACTTTTGGCCCATATACCCCTATCCCTCTTTCTGCTTTAGTTTTGGAAGCATCAATATACCACAATATGGTATGGTTTTTTACATGCTGAGCAAACGTTCCTCCCTTCAAACCATTTTTATTGTTCAATACTACAGTGAGGTATTTCTCAAAGTTGTACATTCTTGGTATGCTGGATGAACTATATTTTGAATCCAAGTTTTAAAATTATTCTGTAAAGATCAATTAAATGGAGACCGGTGCAACAGTTTTTGTGACCACACATGTTGTGATGAACACATAATTAATCGAGAATTTCAACTGAATCGGAAGTGTATATAACTAAGAAAACAAAACAAGGTCCCTTTTATCTGATATAAATCACGCCGATCTTTCTTGTTCGTCGTCGATCGGTAGTGATCGAGCGGTGTCGGTCTTGCGACCATCCAGGTGGTGCGATCCGATTATGATGCAAATGGGGCCCAGGTGTGCGAAGCGGGATAAGACGGAGACCGGCGTCCCGCGGCGACCGGATTAGATCGTTTCGGCTCTTCCGACACCAACGTGCAGACGAAGAGACTGATATAGAGACCTACCATAATATAGGTATAATATTGAGTATAAATCTAAATAAATAAAACAAAGTCGTGTTAGTTACACTATTTCTAACTCTAGAACGACTAGGTTACTGTCTGGAAACTCTGTCGTGCTGTTGTTCCATGGCAAAAGTGTAAAATCTATTGACCATAGACTTAAAATAAAATATAGACTGAGCATCTCATTCATAAATAGCTGGAACATGCGGTCAGACACTGTCTTGTTATTGTTGTGTTATTGTTTTAGGTTATAACGAGTGCGACACGAGCGATAGATAGGTTGCCTCTGTCGTAACGGTCGTTCCCTGACGACTCTGCCGAGAAAC